TTTTTTTTTTTTTTTCCCCCTGTAAGAGGTTTTTATTTAACAAGAGTTTTTGGACCAAAAAAATCGCAATATATCGGGATTTATCGTATCGTGACCCCTCTGTCATGATATGTATCATATCGCCAAATTCTTGCCAATACACAGCCCTATCCTACTGGTCAAATATTACTCAAATAAAAGTAAAAAACAGCTGTCACGTTATTACATAAGTTAAAGTACTGGAGTACGTGCTTTCAAAAATAGTCTAGTACTGCAAGTGCTTCACATTTTAAGTTTTTAACAATGCATTTTAGACACAAACTACACAAACATGACCAAACAAGTTTAAAATAGCTAACTAAAGCCTTTAGAGAAATATAGTATCATTAAGAATTGGTATAGTTTAAAAAAWAATAATAAATAAATAAATAAGCTACTGAGTTATAGGACAAATTGTCAAAAACATAAAAATATACTTCACTAAGGCCCACCTCTGGTAAGAGATCATACATTTTTTTTAGTTTTTTCATGGCTACATGAACTTCATTGTGTTTTTGTCAACGGTCACAGTTAATAAGACACATCTGTGGGAATAGATGTATCTTATTAACTGATCTGACAGCAGGATGGGTGCTCAAGTTTTTAATTTTTTTTGGTCTTGTTTCATAAAAAAAATCATCCTCAAAGTGAAAGTTTTAAAAGATTAAAACATAAAAATCTTCTAAAACTCATCTTAAATTCCAAGTTGTTTGAAAACCAGACAAAAACAACTGAGATAATTATTTGCAAACCACTATATTGACATAAATTAACTTTCTTTTGACATCTTTCTTATTGAAGTCCAAATATGTAAGAAGAGCTTTACTTTTGATCTGTCAATGAAGGATCCTAAAAGCACAAACCAGCTTTGAACTCGCTTTATTAAATATCAAAGTTGTCTCAAATCCTTTAATTAGGACTCCAAATGGATCCTAATAAAATACAACTAGTTTATAAAGTTTATCACAGTTTTACAGTATAGAAAATGAAATAAAAAAGCAGGTACACTGACAAAAGAAAGGCAAGAAGATAACTAAATAGTGCGAAGGTCTCTATCCTGATTTAGTCAGGCATAAAAAAGCAGGGCTCTCACAAAAATCTAACTCAGCTGATTCTTTTTGTCAAGCAAATTTACAATAATGTACATATTTTTGTAAACAGACTTAATTTTGTTTACAAGTGCACTGGAGAATAAAAAAAAGAAGAATATTTACATAATTTTGCATTCAGTGTTGACCTACAACACATCTGAAAAACAAAAACCTACTGTCTACACCGGTTTATAAGTCTCTTTAAACAGCATTTATACATGAATCAAAGTCCTAAGCAGAAGAGAAACTGCAGGTTGAACTCCCTGACTAGCACAGGGAGCTCAGTGGAGTCCAGAAAAGGTTTTCACGCCGCCTGTGAAAACGTTCCTACTGTCGAGTGCCCGGAGGAAGAGTAAGGTTGGCCATCAGCTCGTGAACAGATGCAAAAATGGTACACTCTCCTGGAGGAGGAAGAACAGTGTTAGCGAGGTTACTGTGATTAACGTGAACTTACATAAGACTTTATCAAGTTTAAGCACTCCTAAGACACTTCAATCCTTCACACACTGATGGTCACTACACTGTGGTCACAGCTGCCCCTAACATAGCTCCTAGCACTGTGGGTTAAAAGCAGAACTTCCTGTTGATACCACAGCGAAGCGGGAGTTCAGTCTCACCCTGCCTGGCCGGGTGCAGCTCGTTGAACCTCTTGAGGATGTTGGAGACCAGGAGCGCTGCAGCCCCCGAGGAGCTGTGCTGYCTGGGGATGTCGGCCTGCTGAGTGAGGCCTGTGGCCATGTCGTAAACAATGGGAACAATGATGGTCACTGGCTCCTGGGGCGCTGGGACACGCTGGGTCAGCTGGAGCTGTGGAGGAGACGAGCAGGACGCTTTAATGTTCAGAAGATTTGGAACTTTAAAAAGACGGAGGATTCTCGAAGTCGGCGTGATGTCRTTCAGTCACGTGATTTCAACCTCCATTTTTTTTATGGGGGAAAACTGCAGCTGAAGGGAGCAGGAAACATGGTAATCTCATGGAAAAAAACACCGCTGTCCATCGTCAGTCTCATATTTTTCTTAAACCGAAAAAARTATAACCCCTCAGACCTCCTTTTTGACTGAGGCTCAAACTTATCTGACAAGTAGTAAAAAAATCTACATGTAGAAGAAAATAAAAAAGGCGAAATTTGAATGGAGATTGGCGGCAATGAAGAGCTGGTGAGAGCAGGACTTTATTAATTAGATCTGTGACTTTTAACATGTTTGGATTTTATAGTTAGTGGGTGGTTTTGAGTGTTTAATCTTCATTTTAGCCAATTTTAGTGTTTTAAAATCAAAACAATGAGGCAATTATTTTTAAACAAGGAGAAGCAGGAAGGTCTGCAGAGGCAGAACGACAACACGTCTTATTTCTCTCCCCGCACTCTTGCAGTTAGAAAAAATTTTATATTTTATCTCTGGATGTTTTTTTACGTGAGAAGTGCAGTCCTACAGCAACTTTTCACCATTTTTCCTATTTTCCACATAGAGGAACTCGTCCTATTTCCCCCCAAACTAATATGTCAGCCTCCGTTTACAACATGGTCACGTGACAAAGTACCCGGCTGTTCGACTTTGGGAATGAGAGGAAAGGCTAGAACTTACAAAGAAAAGCATCTTTGCCTTGAGCACCACAGCAATGGTCCCAGGAGGGGCAATGGGGGGAGCACTGGGAGGGATGGTGAGACAGAACTGGACATTCCACTTGAGCTGTGCAGCCTGGTCAGGGAACTGCAGAAAACACAGAGAGATGACGCACTGTAACACAAACGTGCTTTTGAATCGTTAGCATTTCAGAGGAGTTAAATGTCACTTTCACACATTTTTATAGCAAAACTAAGGCTGCATTTTAAATATATCTATTGATTATTTTCATATTTAGTAAAACAAGTAAAGAGAAAACTCACCAGTTCAAGCTTCATGATGCGTACACAGTCCCTCAGAACATTAGTGGGAGCCCCCAGCAGCTTTGTGAAGGCACTCAGTGTGTTAAATTTAAAAGGAGGACCAGCAACCTAAAAAATAACATCAGAAAACATGAATTATTGATACTAAAAGGAAGGGTTTTTGTTTAGGCTTTAATTTATTTATTTATTTATTAAATCCCATTGGAGACTGGGCCTGAAGGCAGCCTGCTGTACATGTTTTTGGACTGTGGGGGAAACAGAAGTACCCAGCGAAAACCCACACAAGCACAAGGAGAACATGCAAACTATGCACAGAAACCAAACCGGGGATCGAACCCAGGACCTTCTTRCTGTGAGGCATCAGTGCTAAAACCACTGACTCAAACCTCAAACACTCAAACATGAAGCACTACATTTTTAATTAAATCTGTACACAAGAATCAGGTTTTTAGTGCTAACATTTTATTTGCTGAATGATAAGAACAGTCCAAAATGATGGCTGCTTTCACTTACTCTGGTCTCAAAGAACCTCTCCAGCACCTGAAGCTCCTCCTGGGACCAGGGACCTGCATTTTCTGGGGTGACTTTAATCTGAAGCGTCTGATARTTCTTTGGATTCAGAGCCACCCGGCATTTGAGCATGTCCGTTTTGAACATGATCACCCCCGGCTCGTTGGAGTTCACAATGGCTAACTGAAACAGGACGCAGACAGAGTGGTGAAGGCCCTGAAGAACACTTCATTTAGGCAACGATGGATGTAAATACTCTGTGTGACTCTCACATTGGACTCCTGCTGGATGATCCTCTGTAGATGTCGTCTCATTATAACTGAGCCCAGGAAGCGCTCCAGCGGTGAGCAGAGGTAGCTCCCTGCCAGGCCAGGCACCAGGCACGGAGTGGGGGAGGGGAGAAGAAGCACGTGTAAGGCACTGTGGGTGAGGATGGTGGGAATGGAGGCAGCCCAGGGGCGCTGAGGTAGCTTTCGGGGAGGAGGCATACTGGTGGGCATGATTTGTGAACCTAAACGAGAAACGTACATAAAGAGTTAATATGGAAACAGGGTTCCTACGGTTTAAGGCAGAGATACTTAACCTATGGGCCGCGAGCGCCACCTTCAGGGCCTCAAAAGAACAACAGTTTTTAACTTTGGGCCGCAGAGGGCCGTGGGACCGCATTGATTTTGAATAAGGTGCAATACACTTTCTCACCACTAGTAGCGGTAGTGCACCACTCAGTTTTTTAAAGGGATCCCCGATTAGTTGTAACATTAGACTTTATATGATAAACATATACTTTAACTGTAAAATAAAGACTGTAAAAATACTGTAGGATGTTCAGTTTTTATAATTTTTAAACTAAAAGTTGAAAAATATATTACACGGACGGGGCCATTTTATTTATACACAAAGCATTCTGGGTAAATGATGACATCAACTAGGTCATCGGCATGAGGCTGCTAGCGAGCTATATCCACCCTGAAGGTTAATCTTGGACAATATCTGATGATCGACTCTTTTAAATGAAACCAGAGAGCGTTGACAGAGAGGAGAAGGTAGAAATGACTCAGCCTGGAACTGAAAATATGGATGGAGGACCGCAGTTTAGCTTGTTTGTCACGCTAGCGCCGAGCTAATACATATAAAGGCAATATAGCGTGAGGGCTAGCGCGAAGGCTAACAGGCTAAGCTGGGGTTCTTCTTCCATGAAGCAGCTCTGTTGTCCTCCATCCATATTTTCAGTTCCAGGCTGAGTCATTTCTACCTTCTCCTCTCTGTCAACGCTCTCTGGTTTCATTTAAAAGAGTCGATCATCAGATATTGTCCAAGATTAACCTTCAGGGTGGATATAGCTCGCTAGCAGCCTCATGCCGATGACCTATCCACGTCATCATTTACCCAGAATACTTTGTGTGTAAATAAAATGGCTCCGTCCATGTTAAAATATATTTCTTAAAAAATTACAAACTAAACAGGCTACAGTATTTTTACAGTCTTTATTTTACAGTTAAAATACATGTTTATCAAATAAAGTTTAATGTTACAACTAATCGTGGATCCTTTTAACAACGTTTTTAATATGTAGAAGAAGAACCTTAGAAACCTGCCGAGAATGGAAATCTATTTTAAATGAAAAGTAGAAGCAAAAATGAAAGTAACTCATCAAAAAACACCAAAGTTTGTCACTAATATGAAGTACAGCTTCTGTTTTACCATGCATTATTTTAAAAGTTCAAAACATTATCAAATACAGTTGTAGATACAACTATATTTTAATTTGCACTTTAAATTTTTTTTTAGTTTATTTTTAAACATTTTGAATGTATTTTAAAGAAATTTTAAACTTGCCAAAAAGCTGTTGTTACTGTTATTGTTTGTCACTAATATGAAGAGCAGCTTCTGGTTGCAAAAGTTTAAAACGGCTATATTTTCATTTGTACTTTATCAAATTTATTTTTACAGGTTTTTTTATTTGAAACATTTACATTAAACTTTTTTTAATTTATTTATTTTATGCCCACAATTTTATTTTTTGAATTGCCTATTTTTTTTTATAGTTATTTATTTATTTATTTATTTTTGTGCTGATAAGCCTGAGTGGTCTGTTGACTGACCTTTTGTATTTGTTCAAATAATTGTTATGGGCAGGTTACAATATAAAAATGTTTGTCATAATCATGTCCTGTGATTATTGATTATTTGACAGGAGTTTTACTTTTAAACTTTAAGTGTATTTGATTTAATTAAGTTAGTTTAGTTATGATGTAAATGCAATTAGAACAATTATCATTTTGATCCGTACATTGGTAATGTCTGACTGGACCTTATGCCACTTTATGTTCAACAAATTGGGCCCCGAGGTCAAAAAAGTTAAGAACCCCTGGTTTAAGGCAAGTTAAATTTAAGACTTTTTAATGCCAAGTCAAATCAAATTTAAGACCAATTTCACAATTAACACAAATGACAAAAAATTAAAACTGTAGCAGAAACTCATGAATCCAAGTATTTTTGGTTGAATCTTTTAAATTTTACTAATAGACCAATTGTTTTATCCATATCTAACTGTTATTTTGTCAAATATGGCTAAAAAAATATTATTAGCAGTCAGTTTTAATCTTAATTTAATTCCTGAAAATCCTCGAACGACCTAAAATTTGGAGTTTTAGGACCCACAGTGGGGTCTAACCCCAGCTTGCTGTAGATGAAACCTTAAAGTGCCTGTGAGGTAAAATGTTTGTAAGAAATATGAATGCATTTTTGAAAAGACAACATTAACATATTAGAAAACAAATTTCACGTTGCTCACATGGACAGTTGTTGAAATATTTGCATGTGAATATTTAAAAAAGTAAATGTTACCAATCAAAAAGAAAAAAATAAGCAGGTCCTCTGGATGGGTTCTTCTTTAGTGAAACGTTTCGTCTCTCCTCCAAGAGACTTCTGCAGTCTGATGAGTTTCAGGTGAACTCAGCCTTATAAGCACTGCCTCCACATGGACAAACAGGTTAGTCACATATAAAAGAGGGCCATCGCTTAACAATAGGCTTGATTCGTTCTGTTGTTCATAGAGGGTCATGTGCCCCATCACCTGACTTATTGGTTTGAATGCTGTGGTTCTTAGATGTCGTGCCATGTGTATGTAGTGAATGCAGGCGGGGCATGGTGGACCTCTTTGTCCACCATGTGGAGGCAGTGCTTATAAAAGAAGTCTCCTGGAGGAGAGATGAAATGTTTCACTAAAGAAGAACCCGTCCAGAGGACCTACTTGTTTTTTCTTTTTGATTTTTTCTACCTGGATTACAGACATGCATCAGGACTTAAATGTTACCAATATTTTTAATATTTGATACAAATTACAGTCATTCTATTTACAATGTGTGAACATTTTTAAGACTTCTGAAGATTGATTTAAGACCTTTTAAGTCTAATTAAGGCCTTATTTTTGGACTGATGTATTCAATGACTTAAGACTTTTTAAGGATCTGCAGGAACCCTGGGAAAGAACTATAAATTTAACAAATACGGACTCCTGAAAAAAACATGAAAGCAAGTGTTCAGAAAATGTGTTTCAACAAAATGGTCAAACCGAGGGGAGAAAAGGATAGTTCATGGAAAGAAAGTGACACTGAGTAATTAAACTGAGACAGAACTTACTGGTCCCAGCTCGTGGAGAATGAGGGTCAGGAATAGGAGAGTGCAGTGAAGGATTTCCAGGGGACATGCCGGGAATTCTTGCCCCAGGAGATGGTCCTGAAACTTGTGGTGAGCCTGGCCACTGTCCCCTGTGGCTGGGAGACACCATGGTATATGGAGAGCTGGGGTCCAGAGGACCTAAAAAGGAGGAGGGACACTCATCAGCTACGTAACAACATAAATACACCACTGTGTGCCCAGGCTCTACACACTGTTTATTAATGATCACTAACTCCTGCAGCCTGTTCAGTTCAGCCCGTCGAGCCCTCACCCAGCAGACAGGAGCATTTATGGCCCCCCTGCTGCTTACCGTGGGGACTGGCAAAGCTGGTCTGGCCCATGGCTATGCCCAGAGAAGATGGAGATGGGGTGGGGCCGAAAGGAGAGGGTGCCCTCAAAGCTCCACTAGGGGAGCCAGAGGCATGGATGTTCCCTGCACACACATACACACACATCAATTGGCTCATCAGACTCTAGTGATAACTGCTCCTGACCCCCACACACACACTCACACACACACACACACACTTGTGTCAAAGCAAGCTAAAGCTGGAAAGAAGGGCTGTAGCCTCTGGCTGGCGGGCTATGAAGAAAAATGCAATGAGCATGGCTGCATGCTTTGTTCCCTCTCATCTGTGAGGTGTACATGTTGCATGAGAAGCACAGATGGTCTCATAGTTTCATTAAATTAAAAAAAAGGGCACACATGGCTGCACAAGCTCAATCGCTGACAATTGCAATTTGCTCTGGCAAGGCATAAATGAGCTGCAAGCTAGTTGTAGGTCGTAAAGCTGCACAGCAGCCAGGTGAAATGACACAAACAGTACAGGAAGACATTCGTCCTCTCAAATTCAGCTCAACATCAAGTCTCATTCATGTCATTACCTGGTGACTGAGTGTGCAACATAGACGGTGATGGAGTTACATTGGCATGATAGTTTGGCGGTGGTGAAGTGAGAGGTGGATATACACCTCCTGGACCCCCTCTCATGGTCTGTGGCTGCTGTGGAGCCTGCAGCTGGTTCATCAGACTGTCCATCATGTCTACACCCACCGGCGAAGGAGGGTTGTCGTCTTCGTTGACTGAACGCCGACGAGCATCTTGATTGCTGTCTACAAACATGTTTAGGAATGTCTACAACAGGAGGGAAAAAAGAACAGGAAGTCGATGGTTTTGTTAGTGTAGACACATTGTTGTTCTGAAATACAAGATAAAATGTCTGTGATAACCTTCTGCATCTGAAGAATCCAGTTTACCTTGAGTCCAGGAGCAGGATAAAACCCTTCTACGATCTTGGTGTTGTCAAACAGACTGTAGGCTCCGTCTCTAATGGCCACCACTCCGCGGCTGCGGCAGTAAATGTCGATGCAGTACATGTTGCGGAACGCCAGTCGGATGTGAGTGGGCGACTGAGGTAAGATGGAGAAACACTGGTATGCAGTGTTGGTGCGCTGGGTGAGGCCCAGCATGGGCACTGTTGGTAGCTTGTTGATTGCATTGAGAGGAGCCTGTGTGTCATAAAGCACCTGCACAAAATCAGAAAAAAAAATCAGTAGGGGTGTAGGAAAATATCGACACACAGATATATATATCGATATTTCATTTCCTGATACTGTATCGATTTTCTAAAGCCCTGTATCGATTTTTAATCAAGGTTTAAAATGTCAACTTTCCTGCCAACGGTTCATTTTAATGTTGTAGTTCAGCATCTGACCACTAGTTGGCAGCAGTGAGCCAGACATTTGGCTCCTCTACCCCTAAGGAGCCAGAGAGTAACAGTAGCATTAGCATAGTGAGTAAACATTAGCTTCAAGCACCGATAGCTGAATCTGAGCGGAAAAGTTTGACACCCTCTGCCTTCTAAGCTGAGGTAAGGTTACAAACAAGTTACTTATTAGTCAGATGTCTGTATTTTAAAACAAATTGAAGTGTCTCATCCGGTGCGCTCTTTTTCTGACTGTAGTCAGTCACGTTACAGAAGACTAGACAGGCGTCCAGCGACTCGAGCTTAGGGGGTGTTGTGAGAAATTCAGTTCCCCTGTGAAAATCTGTTCCCCGTGTCTGGAGGGCACACTGCAGCCAGAGAGGTGGATCAAATCATTTTCACAGCACTTCTGATCAATTTATCGTTAAAAGGACTCATAATCTTGTCAAGGTAACTTTCTGTTTAATCATCAGCTGCTGTTAAAAAAATCTCTAAAATGAATAAATAAATAAAAACCTGGCCTTTTTTTAAAATCACAGAATGAGTATTTCAGTCCTTTTCCAACTTTTCTCATGTTCTCTTTAGCCTCACTATTTATCAGTCAGCCACCAAACACTGTCTTCCAACACATTGTGTGGATTTATATTTTTTTATTGCTGATACAAGAACCAAATATTTCAGTTGTTTAAAATAATCTGTTCCCTCTCTGTAACATGGGAACAAAATAATTTACCTCCAGATCTTTAACTGTGTTAATTCCTCTAATCATAAACAACAAATTCTGAAGATTTGGGAAAATTTGCTCTTTATTGGTCAAAGTTACCTGGATGGAACCAAATATTATTTAGACTTGTAAGCTGCAGTTTGCACTGTTTCAAAGAAAACTAATCTTCTCACCGCATCTTTGATTAATTTTTAATTTTGTCCAGCTGTAGACTAGGTCTCTGTCCAATCAGAGCCAGGTATTGTGTAGTTGGTGCTTTTAATCCGTTTTCAGTTCAATTTATTCAATCCAAGTCTATGGAACAGTCACAAAATGTAACAAAAATCACTCTGTCCCTCTAAAATCGTTCAGAAAATCGAATCGTATCGTTCGCTGAATATCGTGATATGTACCGTACCGTGAGCAGAATATCTAATATCGTATCGTGAGGTTAGAGTATTGCTACAGCCCTAAAAATCAGTCAATTCAGCAGTATAATACAATACAATATACCTTCTTGTCCCCTTGAAAAAACTGCTTTTGGACTCAGTGCTCATCATTAAACCATAAAGTAATCTTACACAACACAAGTATTATCCCTCAGTTACTATTTCAACACAAAAAAACTTAAAAAGAATTAAAAGCATCACTCAACCCAGACTAATCATGCAGTTTCACTGGGTGTCTGTTTCTAACGGTTGTGTACCTGAAGCAGCTGCAGCACATTGGGGTTTTTGTTAAACATCTCCTGTAGCTGATGGAGGATGATGTTATGGCAGTTGGAGCAGCCCGAGTTAGGCCCCACGGTCCCCAGGGCTAAATGAAAACGCAGGCTGCTGGAGTTCCACTGGATGGTGACGGAGCTGCCTTTGGTGGTGCCGTAGCACAGCACCAGTTTACGGTAATTATACAGCCGCACCTCTGAGAACACACTCAGGATAGACGGCATGTCTGAAGGGGAGAAATCAGAAGGAGGTTATATTAAATAGCAAAGAACACAATTTTCTTTTTAATTTGTCACGATTCAACATTTAGTTTTGCATTTTCTGTAACAGTGTTCACCTGGTGCATTTACCTGGGATTGCACGTGAGAAGTTAAGAACACACTGGTAGAGTTGACTAATAGCTTTCCAGTCATTCAGGAACATCTCAACAACCTTCCTGCCACCCACAGGCTCTGACAGTGGGTTTTCATAGGTCAGATAAACATGCCTGGTGGAGGCTAGAAGAGAAAATGAACTTCATAAAGCAGACAAACATATATTTGTATGTTTTTTTTACATACAGTACTCAATATTTAAGTTAACTTCAAAGAGTTTATATAGAACAGCTGGAGCGCGCAGAAACCAGGTGACCATGTGATCGGCTGGTGAAGCTAACGGCTAACGCTAAACGGTCGAGTCTGGATTTCCCATTATTTTACATGTTGACAACAGAGCAGAAAAAAAAGGACTGATGATGTAGAAATCATAAAAACCATTAATATTATTATTAATATTTTACAGTTTATATATTCCATCTAATGTTTTAAATAATGTCAGAAAAGCTGTTTGTGTTATGGATTTATTAACAGAAGATAAACAGAAAAACGTCTCATTTTACAACACAAGTCAGCAGATTTGATCTKATTTAGCTCAATGTGATCTGAGCAGAACATAATGTAACAGTTTAAAATTAAAATAACCTTATAAAGTCCATGTAATCACTGTTATTTATTGAACTGGTTAGCAGATATTAGCTTGTGGAGCATATATACAGAGT